GGGAGAGGACCTGGAAGTGAACATCGCCAAAGTGGACGTGACGGAGCAGCCGGGTGAGGGGTCTGGCGGGCTGGGTTGGGGCCTTCCCCGGGGCTTTGGGCTTCTGAGCCTTCGGGGAAAGGCTTCGGTGCGAGAGTTGTGCTTTTAGCAATCAGCAGCGTTAATAGGAAGCCGTTAAGATCTCTTACTGATCGTTACTGAAGGCAGGTTGCTTTATGTAGCTTGAACACTTAAGACTTTCTTAAAGGGAACGAGGGGATTTCTCTAGAGAGTCATCTGGGGGATTTTAAGGGTTTTTTTTGGCCATACTCAAGCGTTATTCAGAGTAAAAGTGTGGTTTCAGCCTTTCTTGTACCTCTTTTTGTTGGCAAAAAGGGATCCCAGGCAGCCTGGTGTCCTTCAGCTGAAGCTCTCTGGGCCTCATGTCTGCATGAGGTTTGTGGAAGTTACCTTCTGCATGCTGATACTTTTCTCCAAAATCATATAGGAGCTTTTGATAGTGCACTTAGATTGCTTTCTGCCAGTGCTGGTGGTTGCAGGTCATGTGGGCAAAGGAGAGCTTCTCTCTGAAGAGCTGCAACCAAAACAGTTGAGTAGACTATGTCAGGTTATCCCTGGGACATCAGGTTTTCCACATGGAGAAACTGCCTCACTCTTTGCCCAGGGACCTTTCTTTTAGATTGGGTGCAGCACTTTGATAGGCACAAGTTTGGCTGACCGCAATTCTACCTGGGAGAGCAGCTGGTTTTGTTTTGATGCACAAGAATATTTTTTGCCTTTTCTTATGTAAAGTGCTCTACTCTTCTGAAAATAATTATTTTCTTGCAGGATTAAGTGGACGATTTATCATAACAGCTCTTCCTACCATTTATCAGTAAGTATGTAAAGCAGCAGTATTGTTTTGGAGGAGAGAAGACACTTTTTTTCCCCTATTTTGGGGGGAAATAACTGAGCTCTACAATGCTCTGTGAGCAAGTGAGTGACTTTGAACAGAGATAACGAATGCCTTACCTGCTGTGACCTTGCAGGGCTGCCAGCTGATTTTTTCTGTTTCCTTCAGGCATTATTTATTCTGTCTTTTCATGGGTGTTTCACTTTTGCAATCTTTCCTCTGTAGGTTTATCTTAATGCAGTCGTGTGGCAAGTGCATTAGAAAGATCATTATCTTCTTATGGGCTTGCAGACTATAGTTAGCCAAGGTGCACATGGAATCAGGCTTCTAGAAATAGTTATAATTGGGATATTTGGAAAATATTTTAGAGCTGGTGTCAAGGTTTAGGGTCAGGGCTGTCCACTAGACTTACAACAGATGTTCTCTCTTAACCCCTCACCCTTCCCAGAGGGGAAAGGAAAGGGAAGAAGGGAGAGAGGCTTATGGGTTGGAAAACAAAACTAAAACAAGTTTAATGAAAATAACAATAAGATGGAATATATACAGATATTTACAAAACCAGTGTCCAGTCCTCCTGGTGGCAGTGATGTCAGCACTGATGCTGTGGGCAGGCACTGGGGAGGTCCCAGACTGGACTTGGTGGCAGATGGGAACCAGATTCAGGAGCTGGATTGTGGGACTGGGTTCAGGAACGCACAAATCAGGATCAAAGGCAGAGTTCTGCTTGGACAAAGGCCACTGGAGAAGAGCCCTGACCCTCATCATCCCTCAGCTTGATACTGCCCATGCCCTACATGGGCTGGAATCCCTCGCTGGCCAGTTTGGGGTCCCCTCTCCTGGCAGCTCCTCCCCGCAGGTGCCACCTCTTCCTCCCTGCCCCCCAGCGTGGGGCACAAGGCTGAGCAGTGCCCTTGCTCTGCCCAGGAGCCAGCAGCAGCCAGAGCCTTTCTGCCCAGCCCAGCCCTTGGCAGGAGCTCTGCCCATGGAGCGTTGTCCCTGCTGGGAGCAGAGACTGGCTGGGGAGATCTGCCGGGACCTTCAGCCAGGGCAGGGGCTGGGCAGGGGCTGAGCTGAGAGGTGACATCACTGAACAGAATCAGATCTGTTCAAATCAGGACACAAATTAAAACTGAAAAACAGGGAAGGTGATGGGAGGCAAGATGCTGAGTGGCAGCAAAGGCTGCACGCTTGGCCTGCCTAAAATAAAATACTTGATTTGCTTGTTTTGCAGCTGTAAAGATGGAGAGTTCAGGAGATACCAGGGTGCCAGAACTAAAACTGATTTCATAAATTTCATCAGTGACCAGGAATGGAAATCAATTGAACCAGTTTCATCATGGTTTGGTCCTTCCTCTTTCCTGTAAGTTCTACTGTGATTTTACTAATACTTTGTTGTCAAACATGGATGCTTTCAGTGACAGGTTGTTGGATGTGCTGCCTGCTGGGTTAGCAGCAGTTCTCTGCTGGTGAGAAGTGCATGAACGTGGTGGGTGGGTGGCCATGTCTCCTCCATCAGTTGTGAGTAGCAAAGATGCCCTGAGCAAGGTCTACATTAAAACTTCAACAAGATACAGGTGGCTGTGTAGTTGCACTAAGCTCTTGTAGGTAACTTAACTTAGTGAAGTTCTCGTGTTTCTATGGCAAAAAGGTGTTTACCCAGCTAAATTCTAGGAAATAAACAGTAAAAACTGGAATATAATGTAGCAACATAGTTGCTAGATAGAAGGTGGTTGCTTAAGAAGACAGGATGATCAGGAGATGAAGCCCAGCCAGCATGGGTCCATAAAAGGCAGGTCCTGCTTGACCAACCTGATCTTCTCTGACCAGGTGACCTGCCTGGGGGATAAGGCAGAGGCTGTGGGTGTTGTCTGCATGGGCTTCAGTAAAGCCTTGGACACCATCTCCCAAAGTGTTCTGATAGAGAAGCTGGTGGCTCATGGCACAGCCAGGTGGGCTCTTCATTGGGCTACAGACTGGCTGGATGGCTGAGCCCAGAGAGTTGTGGGGAATGGAGTTGGGTCCCATTGGCAGCCAAGTGCTGTTCCCCAGGGCTCAGTTTTGGGGCCAGTCTTGTTTAACCTCTCTGTCAAAGACCTAGTGAGGGGCTCAAGGGTACCTGCAGTGAGTTTGCAAATGACACCAAATTGAGCAGCAGTGTTGATCTGCTGGAAAGTCAGGAGGCTCTGCAGAGGGGTCTGGCCAGGCTGGAATGGGCTGAGGCCAATGGGTTGAAGTTAAACAATGCCAAGGGCTGAGTCCTGCCCTGGGGTCACAACAACCCCCTGCAGCGCTCCAGGCTGGGGCAGGAAAGTGCCCCAGGGAAAGGACCTGGGGGGGTTGGTGGGCAGGCAGCTGGAGATGAGCCAGGGTGTGCCCAGGTGGCCAAGAAGGCCACCAGCAGCCTGGCCTGGATCAGCACTAGTGTGGCCAGCAGGACTAGGGCAGTGACCGCGCCCCTGGACTGGGCACTGGGGAGGCCACAGCTCCAGCACTGGGGTCAGGTTTGGGCACCACAGGGTAGGAAAGACCTTGGGGGGCTGGAGCATGGCCAGAGAAGGGCAACAAAGCTGGGGAGGGTCTGGGGAACATGAGGAGCAGCTGAGGGAGCTGGGGTTGCTGAGTCTGGGGAAGAGGATGCTCGGGGGAGACCTTCTGTCTCTCCACAGCTAAAAGGAGGTTGGAGTGAGGTGGGAGTTGGGCTCTTCACCAAAGCAATGATCAATAGGATTTAGATGGATATTAGGAAGAATTTCTTTCCTGGCAGAGTGGTGAGGCCTTGGCCCAGGCTGCCCAGGGGTTGCTGGAGTCCCCATCCCTGGAGGGGTTCAGAACATGTGCAGATGTGACACTTGGGGACAGGGTTTAGTGCTCATGGCAGTGTTGGGTTGATGGTTAGACTGAGAGGTACCTTCCAACCTTAATGATCCTATACTATGATTCTGCCTGTAGCCAAGTTAAAAGCAGAGTGGAGGGCTGAAGGTTCTTCTGTTGAAGGAATGGTGAGGTGGGGAGTCTCTGTAGTCTGAGAGGAAACACCCTCGTTGGAATTCTTCCTGGTTTTGTGGCTCTGGAGCATGTTCAGTTGTTGCTGCATGTGCTGTGTGGTGGTTTCAGAGTCGTTGAGTAACTGTGGGGTGAAGTGTGCTGGGGACACCAGTGCCTGAGGCAGATGAGCCCAGTGGTTCCTGGCTTTCCTCCTGTTGGAGCAATGATGACAGGAACACCTCTGTGCTACCTGCACTACCTTGGCTCATTCTTCACTTTAGGAAATGTTACCCTTCACTGAAATTTGATAGGGTGTTTTTTTGTAGCCCTTCAAGGAAGCTCAATTATTACTTTGCTCTTTGAACCCTCTCATTCTGTGGGGTTGGTCTCCTCCAAATTACCAGCTTGCACCAAGGGATGTGCAAAACATATGCTAATTTTAGGCATGATAATTGAATAAGTTTTCTTTTAGAAGCCTGTTTCTACACCTCACTCATAAGTACTTATGGTGCCTTAATGTTTGAAATTCTCCTTTCCTTTACAGATAGCAAATACTTAATGCTGAAGTGTCACAGTAACAGGGAAATGTCAGAGTTGGCAGGATATGTGTTGCAGGTAGCCTGCTCTTTTCCTCTTGTGTGTAAAATACATAGAAATAATGTAAAATACACCTAAACTTAAGGGCCTGAAGATCTCTCCCTTCTGATGTAACCTGATGGGGTTTTAATAAGTTAATTTCTCACTTTAATAAAACATCTAGACACTTAATTCTTAATATCTTGACTAGAGTTCCAGCTGCTCATTGACTGCTGGTCCAAGTAAAACTTGGAACATAAAGAAAAGTGACTGAAATTCATGTCAGGAGGTGGAAGTCAAAGAAGTTGGTGAAGTTGTAGTTGTCCCTGTGTGGAAGATGATACAAGTTGGTACTGAAAGTAGCTTCATGGGAAACGAGTGTTTGGTGAAGTAAAAGACAAAGCAGAAGATAAAAATCAAAGCAGTTAGAAGGGAAATGAGAGATGAGCAGAAAGCTGTTCAATGTGGGAGTAGGTAATGACAAGTCAGGCAGATGAGGAGATACAGATCTGCTGGGCTTAAAGATGTTCTCAGTTCCTTTCCTCTGCTTTGTTTCAGGATGAGCAGCATGTCAGCTCTGTTTCAGTTGTCCATGTGGATCAGGGTATGTGCCTACCTCTCTGTTTTATCTTACCAGATGTGGTGTGCAGCTGTTCTTGAAAGGATTCTCTTGTGTTTTTGTTCCAGCACTGCCATGGATATTTAACAGAGAAGGTTGGGATGCCAGTCTGGGGCTCCTATGCTGTTTTTGCCTTGGCAACTCTCTTCTCAGGACTGATACTGGGACTTGTAAGTGAAGCACTTGAGACAAATCAGCCTCTGGCTACTGTGTATTAATCTAACACCTTCTTTGCCCTGGTCTTTGATAGGAAGAGCAGTTGTTCTGTGTGAGCCCAGCCTGCTGAGCTGGAAGACAGGGACAAGGAGCAGAATAAAGCCTCTGTAATCCAAGAGGAAATTCTTAGTGACCTGCTGCACCACTTAAACACACACAAGTCTCTAGGGCTGGATGGGATCTGCCCAAGGGTACTGAGGAGCTGGTGGAAGTCCTCACCAAGCCACTTTCCATCATTTATCAGCAGTCCTGGCTAACCAAGGAGGTCCCCGTGGACTGGAGGTTAGCAAATCTACAAGAAGGGCCAGAAGGAGGATCTGAGGAACTCCAGGCCTGTCAGTCTGACCCCAGTGCCAGAGGAGGTTATGGAGCACATCATCTTGAGTGCCATTGTGGGACTCATGCAGGACAAGCAGATGGTCAGGCCCAGTCAGCTGGGGTTTATGAGGGGCAGGTACTGCTTGGCTAACCTGATCTCCTCCCCTGACAAGGTGACTCAGTGGCTGAGGGAAAGGCTGTGGATGTTTATCTGTACTTTAGTAAAGCCTCTGACACAGTTTCCCACAGCATCATCCTGGAGCAACTGGCTGCTCATGGTTTAGATGGGTGTAGCCTTCACTGGGTAGAAAACTGTCTGGATGGCAAGGCCCAGAGAGTGGTGGGGGAGGGAGTTAAATCCAGTTGGCAGCTGGTCACAAGCAGTGCCCACAGGGCTCAGTAATGGGCCTGTTCTCCTTAACATCTCTATCCATGACCTGGATGAGGTGACCAAGGGCATCTTCACTCCAGGAAGGACCTTGAGGGGCTGGAGCGTGACCAGAGAAGGGCAACGAAGCTGCTGGGGAAGGGTCTAGAGCCCAAGTGTGGGGAGGAGCAGCTGAGGGAGCTGGGGGTGCTGAGCCTGGAGCAAAGGAGGCTCAGGGGAGACCTTCTGGCTCTGCACAGCTCCTGACAGGAGCCGGGGGGGGTCGGGCTCTGCTCCCAAGGGACAAGAAAAGCAAGAACAGCCTCGCGTTGCCCCAGGGGAGGTTGAAGTTGGACATGAGGAACAATTTCTCCCCAAAAAATGTCCAGGGCTGTGCCAGGCTGCCCAGGGCAGTGGTGGAGTCCCCACCCCTGGAGGGGTTTCCAAGCTGTGTAGATCTGGTACTAAATGTGGTTTAGTGGTGACCTGGCAGTGCTGGGTTAACAGTTGGACTCGATGAACTCAAAGGTCTTTTCCAACCTAAATAATTCTATTATTCTAATGTGTTTGGATGTTTGGAGATTTAAACTTGTCTTCCTTTGCTTTCAGATCATGGTGTTCTTGGCAGACTGTATCTGTCCCTCCAAGAGGCAGAGAGCACCACAGTACCCTCATTCAAGTAAGCTTGCTCTACTCCTGTAACTCAGAGAAGCTGTTTAGTAACTCTGGTTTAATAACTGTGGGTATGTAACATGTGTCTGCAGGACATCAGGTTTAGGGTAGATGTTTGCACTTGTGAGGGATTCTTTTCTTTACCTGCAGCTGTTTGCCCTAAGGCTTCCTTGTGGGTTCGTAGTTAAAGCTAAACTATTTTTGAACAACTGTTTTTTTTTTTTTTTTAGGAGCTAGAGAAATGTTTTTAAAGCATTTTCATACCTGCAAGGTAGGAAATTCCACATGTGCAGTGAGATAAAAGTTCAGAGTGGAGCTCTCAGCCTGGCTAAGTTGAGGGCTTGCTCAAATTTTAGGGGCAAAATGAAGGTTAAAAGTGAGTTTGTGTTTCTGTGGATAGTTAAGGGATGGAGTTTGGGGTTAGCTGCTGGAGTTTTTCAAGGTAATCTTAAAAAAAGTAATGAAAGAACATTTGAATGCTGGTTTGTAGGAATCTGACTTATTTTTTCAAAGCTAGAGGAAGTTTTATATTATCTTGTCTAGGTAGTTTGATGAATGTATGCTGGTAATAATCTGGTAATAACCTGTTAATAGTTGACCTGTGGGTAACGTCACGCTGGCAACAGTCCTACCTCAGATAGCAGTTTAAGAGACTGGTACTGGAAAGTGCTGCCTGGATTAAAGTCATTTAAATTCTGTGCCAGCCTGTGATGTTAAAAAAAAAAAGTGTTTCCCCCATGGTAATGGTGTTTGTGCATGCATGTTTTCCTTTCTCCTCAAGGAAAGCTAGCCCCAGAGTCAGCTCAGCTGCTGAAAAAGCTGGATGAAGAGCAAGAAGCAGATGAGGAGGATGTCTCAGATGATGAAGCAGAGGGGAGAGGGGTGTCTGACAGGAACTCAGCACCCAACACCGTCAGGCAGCGCCCTGTGAACCCTCCTGCTGCTGCTGCTGCAGAGAAGTCTTAGCTCTGCTTGCAGGCAGGATTAGTTCTTGAGTCACTGACTCAAAAGGAGATAAATCAAATCCTTCAGCTTGAAGAGAAGAATGGCTCCTGTCATGGTAATATTGATGCATTTAATGAATTCAGGAAAACAAAACAAAGGAGAAAGCATCCCTGGTGTCAGGCATTCCAAACTAAAACATGCTGTTGCAAATGGCTGAAACTTCTCCTGCCTGTGTGCAGGGAAGTGCCAAGAAATTACTGATGTGGCTTCTTGAATGACTTGCTCCATGGGTTTTTTGTTTTTTTGTTTTTTTTTTTTAAACAGAATGTAAAAAGGTGTACTTGTTGCATTAGGGAACATTAGCAAGGAAAATGCACTAACCTGTCTGCTGGTAAAGCACTCAAAAGGGTTTCTCAGTGTAAATCTAGTTGTGCTCTGAAGAAATGCTGAGGGGAAAAGTTTCTTCAGGTACAGGACACACTCCAAGCTTTTGATGAGACAAACTTTCTGCTATGGCAGTGAGTGCTATGACCCCCACTCCCCAGTCTTTCCTCTTCCAAAGAAATGAAATTTGCTGTCTTTAATATTTAAAGGGGAAGTTGCCCTCTAACAGAAGCTGGAGCCTGTCCTGGCCATCCTCCCAGGTGCAAGCTCCCACAAGCTCTCTGCATAGCGTGGATTCTCTGCCTGACCAGAAACCTGCTCTTCACATTCCTTTTCTTTCTCAAAAAGGCTGTAGCAAACTCTGTGAGCTTCTTGGTGAAGTAATTCTCTAGATAAAATGGCAGATAGCACCCTGAGGTCCTGTTTGTCTCTGTGACTGATTCAGATGGGAGCAGTTTACACACAGGGTCCTCTGCTGGGTGCAGATCTCTTCACCCTGCCAGCTGGCAGTAGGACTCTGCTCATTTTTAACAGAATACATTATCAGTGATCTCAGCTTGATCCAGTCTCACTGCAAACCCAGTCAGGCTGTACCTGAAGTTGAAATAACTGCTTCTTAATGTCTTTTACAGAAACTCATCTTTTCTGGTTTCCATTCTCTGAAATGATAAACCCTTTTTGTTTTTTCCTTTAAGAAACCCCCTGTAGTCTTGTTTTCTGTACAATATTTGTTTTCACTCTATAGAAATAAAAGAAAATGCACCTGTGCTTTGGACCACTGTTATCTTGCATTGCTTGTGAAGAATATTCCATATTTTTTCAGTTAATTTCCAAAGTATTTGCAAGGGAAGGGTTAGACTAATGCTGAGCACTCCAAAGGGGTTTTGACAAGCCTGTTCTTGCTGGTCTTTTTTTGTTTGTTTTGGGTGTTCTGGTGAGTGGTGGTTTTTTATTTGGTTTTTTGTTTGTTTTATATTTTTTAAACATTCATCTGAGTGGGTTTGCAGGACTGGCAGTTGATAAATCTGTGTCAACAGTAAACTTGATCATGTATAATTAAACCCACAAATGTAGAAATGCCCTTGATGATGTTTTCACTTTCTTAAGCCAGGCTCTCCTAGTGATTATAAAGAAGACAGAGGAGCTTGTGATGAACTCTGTGGAATCTGAAAGGAATATTGGGCAAGAACAGCATTCAGAGCTCTTGCAGGTGAAAGCAGCTTGTAAAGCTGTTAAGAACCCACTGTGGGTTTTGTCAGTCTTGAACACTTCTTTGTAAGTCACATTTTCAGCATATTTGATAGATCATAGCTCATCCTCTGTGTTATGGATGGAAACAAGTGATTCCTCTGTCTAAATACCCGAGTTAATCCCCCAACAAGTGCTTAGCTGGGTAAGAATGAGTTCTGAAAGTTGTCCTGCATTTCCTCCTTTGACTTGTTCTTCCTTTTGCTTTTTCTGAACACTGCTGCTCTAGAATGACTTACAGCTTCAGTGCTGGGCTATGCTAGGAAGATTAAACTGATGTTTGGAAGGATCCTTTTGGCTCAAACAGGAGTGTTCCTGTAATTTTTTAATAGTGAACTTTTTCTTGGTGTTTGAGTGAAGACCACTGTGTGCTGTAAATGCCCTTCAGGCACTGGTCTCGTGGAATTGCCTTAAATTCTCTAAAAGTTTAGCTCTTAGCCTTTGTCACTAGTGAAATAAAGCAATAAATCTGTGATGTACAGAGGAGAACTAGCAGCACTGGTTTTGGTCAGTGATGTATTTGGAGAGGGCTTGAGAAGCCAGGGGCCACAGAAATGCTGGGTGATGTCAAACTGAACTCTGGGCTGACTCCACTTGGAAGATATTTAACTGTAGCTGTTACAAACGCAGGGTTTTCTAATTTTTGGGTTACTTTTCAACTTTTTGTGCAATATAGAAAGTATATGCTGATAACTTGGGACTAAGTTTTAAAAGAACAAACCCTTTTTTTTTTTTTGCTGTACTTGTAGCCTCCTGGTTTCACAAGAACTTCTAGTGTTAATGAGCCTTACCCTCTGCACACCTACCTTCCCTTACTGCTTCCCTGCCTCAGGCAAGTCACCAAATCCCAAAACTGCCTCTTAGTGCTCCCAGAATGTTCCCAGTTGCTGGATTCCAGCCCCTGTAGCAAACCTGTGTTTATGTCCAGTTCAACTTCTGCAAACTCTGTTTTCATCCCCCATCTGCAGCCCATGTTTGCTCATTTCTGTAAATCTTCCTCTTCTGAAGAATGTTATGGTTTTGTCCTGTGAATATTTAAGTTTCCTGATACTGTTTTTTTTTTTAAAAAAATCTGTATTCCAAAGATGTTTACTGGGGCTGAGTGAAGGTTGCAATGTAATGAGTGCATAAAAGCCTGTCCTTGTGTTGATGATGCCTGAGTACCAGTTTTGTCCAAGTCAAGCTGCCCTTTCCATATTGCCACCAAGCATGTCCAGTTTCTTTCCAGAAGGAATTAACTGTAACAATGCTTTTTTTTTTTTAATGTTTCAGAAGGTCTCCAAGTAAAAAAATATCCACCAGCTTTGGATTCCTGTGTTTGTGTCTTTATTTAAGAGGGTGTCTTGCTCTCTAGGGGTGAAGCAAAACTGCAGCTATTTCTGTGGGAAAAAAAATAACACTCTAACAAACTATTTCATAGAATCCTGGAATGGGTTGGGTGGGAAGGGACCTTTCAAGGTCATCCAGTCCAACCCCCTGCCCTGAGCAGGGACATCTGCAGCTAGAGCAGGTTGCTCAGAGCCCCGGCCAACCTCACCTGGAATGGTTCCAGGGATGGGGCAGCGACCACCTCTCTGGGCAACCTGGGCCAGGGGCTCACCACCCTCAGCAGCCAAAATTCCTCCCTTCTCTCTAGTCTGAATCTCCCTCTTTTTGTTTGAGGCTATCCCCCCTTGTCCTGTCCCAACAGGCCCTGCTCAAAAGTCTGTCCCCAGCTTTCTTCTAGGCCCCCTTGAAGCTCTGGAAGGCCACCAGAAGGTCTCCCCAGAGCCTTTTTGTCTTACTTGTGGTAAGTCTTTTTGAAAAGACAAATTCACATAATACTTCAGTCTAAAGCTGTGCTGGGGTACCTGTGGTTTTCAGCTGAGACTGGCTCGGGTGCCTCATGGCACTGCAAGGTGGGCTCATAGTATTTTGGGTAGATGGCTGGTATGGTTTAGGAAGGAGCTTTCATGCACACCAGACTTTGTGCTGAAGTGAAATGGATTCTTGTGTTGCAAAAAGAATGTAGGCTAGGATTGAGAAATGGTGTTTAAATTAGAGGTGAAATATTTGGTGTTAAGCAGGTTTTGTTGTGGGTTCTGATAGAAATTATACCTGCTGTGTCCACCTCGTGGCTGTGGCCAAACTTCCCAAAGGTTTTGGGTTGTTGAAGGGTCTGTGAGTGGTGATGCCATGACAGGAGAGCTGATCAATGAAATCCTGTGTGGAGACAAAAAAAAGGATGTTTCTGGAACCTCTTGCTGAGGGAGCTGAATCTGTGTGATGTCTACTGTGGTGTGCTTTTACCTGGGGTGGTTTGTGGTCGGTTTGATGGGTGTGGTGGGTGGTGGTGTGACAGGTTTCCAAAGGAACTGTCTGCTTCGATCCATCTGTTGATGAGGATCCATCCAGACAAGGATGATCCATCCCAGGTCCATCCTCTCCCAGATCTTTGAGGCCACAGCCCTGAGGGAGCAGGGAGTGATGGCTGAAGCTGGCCAGGGCCCCCCAAGTGGGACCTGAGGTTTTTCTTGGAGCTTTGTAGATACATTTTTTTTTCTTAAGCATGAGAGACTGCAAGAACAAACCCTGCCAGGAGCTGTCAGGAGTTGTTTACCTCAATGCTCTGCTGAATTTCTTCAGGGATGACTAAAACTCATCCCACCATGGGGTGGTGTAGTGAGACCTGGCTGGGCTGGAGGAGGCTGCCAGCACAGCACTCAGGCAGAGGCATAAAAACCAGCTTGGTTATTATTTTTGCAAGACGTGCTGACTGAAGTCCCTCAGCTCGTTCATGGTATCCTGATGTCCCATGGTCACTTTTGAAAGCACCTCTTGTCTTCTGCAGGCCTAGGAGATGGAGAACTTGGTTGTAGCCTGCTCCAGGGGCCTCAGCTCATGGTGGGGTTGAGGCTGGATGTGGCTGCAGGGCTGGATGGGGTTCTCCTGCCTCGGGAGGAGCTCAAGGACACTGCTCTTTGCTTTTCTCTAGTAGAATCAGGTAGTTAGCCAAGAGCTAATGTTCCTCACGCTCCTCTGAGAACCCCAAAGGCTCCAAACTTGAGATCTCTGCTCTGGGTATGGATAAAGGCCTTTTTAATTTTTTTGTTTGTTTGGTTGGTTGGTTGGTTGTTTTTTTTAAAGGGCTTTGGAGCACATCTCCCACAGGGCTGCTCTAACTTTCCTGGAGAACTGTGGAAGAAGCTGCATGGGCAAAAGGAGAGCAAGTGAAAGGAGTCAGCTGACCACGTGGTGGCAACATGGAGATGCTACAGCAAGGTTGCCCCTGGAAGAAATGCTGCTTCTAGAGAAACCTGAAGTAACTCAATGGCTGAAAACAGGCTGGTAAAAGCATGAAATGTAAATATTTTCAGTTGATCTAAAGGAGACAGTGGGTATGGGAACAA